ACATATAAATATTTTTAGTTTTATACACTGAATTTAGAATAATAACAGCTCTCCACTTTTATTATCAATCATAAAATATATATCTGCACTTGTATATGCATAAAATTTTTAACCATGAATCCTTTTAGTAGCTGTATTTAAGTATCTTTACTTTTCAGTGTTATAATGGAGCTACAAACTCATAAGTGCTACTTCACTATTATACCATATTTCTATTTTTTAATTTTTTTATGTATATTTTGGGGGGAAATAAAGATGTGCCACTAGTCAAGGGCAATTTTCTTCATTCTTTATTATGCCCAAATGGTTTTTTTTTTCAATTTGTATTAGAACTTCTCATCAAGATTTATATTTGCTTGTTTTTATACTATATAAATTTGCTTGTTTCAACTATATATAATTCTTTTGACTATAGATGGGATTTTTATGCATGCCTATAAATAGGATACTTTTTATACTATGAATAACATGCATACCATATGTACATATCAGTGTAGAGACTGTGTGTTTTGAATTATATGTTTTATTTTGACACAGTTTCATCATTAAGTCCTATTTACCAACAAGCTTAATAGACTTATAACATTGTCTATAAGGGCCTTTTCTTAGGATAAAATAAACATGTTATAAACTTCTTAAGAAACCTTTTCTTTTTAGTAATTGATCAGCATAACTTCAGTTGAGTTACTGGATTTCTTGGCATACTTTTCTGGACCTATAATCTGTCTATACCAATGTTTTAAACATTAAATTTAAAACTCAGGGGGTAAAAGGTTCTTCAACTTAAGATCTTCTCTCCAGATCTCCATTCTTTGGAGTTTCCATGAGTGTGACCTGAGGAACTTGGAACCATTGAAATTCAAATGTAGGTAGGTAAGTGTTCACACCAGCGCATGCGTTGATTGCCTTATATCTCTTTGTATATGCATCTGTATTGCACCCCCTCAGTGCCTTTCTTCTTCTTCCTCCCCATAGACCATGTAGGGCCTGTGTCATCTCGACATTATGTAATTTTGTAATTCTGTATTTGGTCAGTATTTGTCTGTAATGTGTGTCAGGAGCAATTTTAAAATGTCTTCAGATGTTTATGACATTGTGCTGTCTGGACTGTCACACGTAACCGTTTTCTGTGTATGGGCCTGGATTGCATATTTGTGAATTGTTTGTTGAGCTCTGATAAACATTCCTCTGGAGTTGCTGGTATTCATTGAGGGATGCAGAAAGTCTCAGTCTTGGCATTTCACTCTCAGATATATCTAGAGAATGAACTATTTCTGGTTCTAAGAATTTCTTCCAGTTAGTCTTTGATTTAAAAGTCATACTCTTGATACCATTCATGATGGCATGAGTGTGTCATTTACTGTCCTTTGAAGTTCATTCACAACCTTTCTTTGGGCAATAAAAAAAAAAATTATTAAACTTATTTGCTTTTAGCAATAAGAATTAATACTAATTTATTCCACACAAACAGGACCCCTATATAGTGCCCCCAGAATTATTTATTGATAACATACTAAGTAACTAAAATAGGCAGACTCAATCATGGAATATTCTCCTAGGCTTAAGTGGAATTTCTATTCACATAAGCAAAATGAGATGTTCAGGTGCTTAGTTAATGTAATTTGCTCAAAATATCCGAGCACCAAAATCTGGCATTCCTTGCATGTTTTTTTTTAATTTTTATTTTTTATTATGACATATGCCAAGCACATCATTGAATTTCAGAATCTCTTTTCCATGTGTTTTTTTTTTTTTTTCCATCTCTTATAAAAATTAGATAATCCTTTGGCAATGGTTCTTAAACCTTTGGCCTCGGGACTCTTTTAGACAATTAAAAATTACTGAAGACATCAAAGAACTTATTGATCAATACAACCCATCAATATCTACTATACTAGAAATTTAAGTGGAGAAAGTTAAAAGTTTTAGTAATGCATTTTAAAATAACCCACATGTTAACATAAATAACATTTTTATGAAAAATAACTTTTCAAAATTAAAAGAATGCTAAGAGTAGCATTTTATTGTGTGTGATGGTGAAGTATATAATGACTGCAAATACAATTTGGTGCTACTACTGGGTTCATGCTGAAGTCCCAGCAGTTTACTCACTATTATTTTTCCACCATCATTGCAAATGTGAATACAGTGAAAAGGGATAATAAAATCTTGGTATTTTTATGAAAGTAGTTTTGACTTTGTGATCTTCTGAAAGGGTTCTGGGGATCCTACTTTGAGAACCATGTTCTAAGATGCCTGCATATCTTAATGAAAATTTGTATCAACCTGTTTGAGTGAAGTTTCTTTTTCCTCTTTTGGGCCTTTATTATCCAAGGAGAATGACTTGATTGCAGTTGGTATGAACAGACTTTAAAGTTACTTGGGTATAAATTTTGTTTTAGTTAGCATCATCGATTTGGATATTAAAGCACCCAAATACTCTGAAATGAGTCTGTCCATTGGATGACTATGTAGTTTTCTCTTTATACTTGTGTGTGGTATGTGTGTTGTATGTGAGTATATAATTAATTTGGCTCCTGGGTAGCTTTAAAACACATTTTCATGAAGCAATGTGATTTTCATGAATTGTGGCGGTTTGCACCAGTTACCATTGTGCTATGCTACTTTTTTCCCTCATCTACCACAATTTCAAGTACTACTGCTTCAATTCGTATGCCAAAGACTGTTTGTCCCTCTTTTCCCTGGAACCAAAATTCATAATATTGTAAAGGCAGTCCAAAGAAGTGGTAGAGATGCCAAGTTAGGAGAATATGAAGAACATCATCTTCTAAGTGGCAGTCTCCTGTCGAGTTATCTCCTTCATAAAATTTATCATTCCTCTGATGTCCCTGGACTGTTAGATTTTTATGGTTTGTGCCAACAGTACTGAGGGGGTGTGTGATGCTTACATATATGCAGACATATAGTGGATTTTGACTCACACTCAATGCATGCGCTAGTGCTCACGCTTACATACCTGAAATTTAATGATTCAACAGCTCTGCCATATTTGAAGAGGTAGTCAAAATGAATAAATAAATGAAAGTTAAAAATTCTGCTAAAGAACAAAGATCTGCAGAAGTGATCCAATAATAAGGAACTCTATTTACTGGTAAGTAATCAAAATAAATTCTAACTGGAAAGTTTCTTGGTGCATGATCATTATAAATACTATAACCATAATACAAGTATTCTGCCAATATAACATAGGTATAATACAATACCCTTTAACATAAGTAATTTGCCTATAAGGTACGTATTGTGAATCATTAATGGCTGAATTCTGTAGTTAGAAAAACTAATATCAAAAGCATAAAAAAATCACTTAGTTGAATATATTCTTTTATTTGTATCTCTTTTTTGGACAGACTTCATAATGCCATTGCAAAATTTGAAATTGTTTTAGACTATTTGAATTCTGTATGTAACTTTCCCTTTTTCTCAGGCCTGTTTCCTATTCCTGTTTTGGTAATAGTCCCCTTTCTAGTAGAGATGGGCCCCCACAACTGAATCAGATAATATCCATAATTATCCACTTGTCAGTTTTCAGGGGCACAAACTTCTTTGGCTATCTCTTCATACTTCACATTAAAAGCAGGAAAAATTGTCTGTGGCCACGCTACCCTGAACAAGCCCAATCCTATCTGATCTCGTAAGCTAAACAGGGTCGGGCCTGGTTAGTATTTGGATGGGAGACCACTCAGGAAAACCAGGTGCTGTAGGCATTAAAAAAAAAAAAAGTAAGAGATTGTAAACTGACAAGGTCCTTGTAATCTGTGAAGTCAACCAAGGTTTGCCTCGCCTAAAAAAAATTTAAAAAAAAAATAAAAGGAAAAATTAACTACAAAGATTAGGAGGCAGGAAATCAACTGGCATGGGAGACAACCTTATCTTTCTTGATAATCGCCCAACCACCTACTTATCTGTAGGTTAAGAACTATGAAGAGATTAGTAGGCAAACTGTCAAGGGATGCATGCTATGAAGAAAATGTGTTTTGTAAGAAGCAGGTTTTTATCTTTAGAGTCTCAATAGGTAACTTAATAGAATTTGGCGAAAAATATTCACTTGAAAGTGGCATGTAATTTTTAAAAGAATTTTGAAAGCATTCCCATATCTTTGGATGAACTAGTTATTAACAGTAACAGTATTTTGCATAGGGAGATGAGTGTTTGTGTCTTTTTTCTTAGCTTACAGTACTTATGGTTAGCATTTTGATTTATTTACCTTTAGCCTTGTTACAGGTATTCTATTATCAATGTTCACAAAGAGCTTTTGTGGAAATTCAAGGCATATTAAGTACTTAAAACCAATTCGTTTCTTAGAAAATTATCACAAAGCCATATTGACCTCATTGTATTCACCTCTCAAGCCAAATTTTTGTTTCTTTACTAAGATGATTATCACTATTATTAAATAAAAATTTGAAAAGAAAAATATTTTAAATCCATTTTTCCTCATTAAAACTACTTTTCTTCCTACTTTTCATCAAAGAACACTGCTGCAATTAAACAATAATTTTTGTGTATTATGTACTTTTCATTCTTTAAGGGATTCTAAAATTTTTGTCTTCTCTCTCAGTCTTTATTAAACTTGCTTTTTTTCTTATGCTTTCATATACTGTGATTTCCTGTAATGCAAATATTACTTTATCTAATCTTTTTACTTAAAAACAATGGTAATGTTTAATTATGTATACATCTTTAAAGCCTGCTTTGTAATGGTATAAGACCCTGTTTTAAAATTTAAAAAAAGACTAATGTTTGACATTATTTTATTTTTATTTCTAAATTTCTTTTAATCATTGAAAACATTCAAGACAACTCTTCTGAACTAATGTATTAAAATTTTTCAAGACAATTCTATGAATGGATTTAATCTTGCTTTACTGTAATTGAAACAGTATTGAGTTTGCAGTAGAAAGAATAAGGGGTATTTTCTTCTTGTTAATGCCTATTTTGGTACATAAACACTTTTTTTGTTTGTTTGTTTGTTTTTGCAGATTCCCTTCAAGCTCAGCTTATCAATATGGGTGTTATTCCTACCTTAGTGAAATTACTGGGCATCCACTGTCAAAATGCAGCTCTTACAGAAATGTGTCTTGTTGCCTTTGGCAATTTAGCAGAACTTGGTAAGTCCTAGTCATGAACCACTAATGTAATTAACTTATTAATGTACTTAACAATAAAATATTTTTTAGATGTTAACCACCTGAAAAGCCATTTAGATTATGTTAGTTTAATTTTTTTGAAGCATTGTAGGTACTTGCTTCAATGTTAAAAAAATAAAAAAAGACAGATCCAGTTATATCTTATGATTGTATTATTTACATTTGAGAGCTAGTTCGCTTGTATATTATTTAAGAGTTGAATATTTAAAATGATCTCCTTTGACTTTAGTATTTTTACGTTAGAGATGGTTTTAAATTCAAGTATTGTATTTCCAGGGCAAAAATAAAGGACTAAATACTTGATTACATTATCAGGTGAAAAAGAATCTAGCAGACTATGATTCTTCCTCCTTTTTTTTTTTTTACAAAATCCCTAAAACTGATAAGGGATTTTTCATAAGAATATATTTGTAATAGCATTAGAAAAAATTATAAGATCCTTAAAAATCAGAAGGCGGGCAAAAACAGACCACTGCTGGAAACAGCCCAATGGTAACGGGACTAATGACCCCAGCAATCCCGGCTCCTTTCTCAGTTTTGTTTTTCTCTATATTATTATTGTACCCTTTCTCCTGTCTTTTCTTCCCGTGATTTTCGATAGAAACTTAAAACTACTGGTCTAAATCTACTGCCCAGCCATGTTTATATAAATTGTTTATTATGGGGGCAGTGAAGCCAAATGATTTTTTGTCATAGCTAAATATAATAGCTACAAAAAAAATCCATTTCATGAATTATCTCCATTTTATAAATAAATAGAAGCATCAGGACTGTAACCTTGAATTTTCTAACTAAAAGCTCATGTCCTTAGAATTACATACAAAAATCTTGATTTCAGTACTTTACTTTTGGTTTGACTTCAAATTAAGAGAATAAAGATTATTTATCAGAATTAATTTTTAAAAGTCCTCTTTCATTGGGTTATCTGCTGGTATTTGTAAATGCTTCTTATCTTCTCTGCTTTTCTTCTTTTTCATACTGTCTCATTTCCATCATTCAAGTAAGACCAAGTTACTGCTTCACAAGTTACTATTTTTCATTATTAAAATGGAATGTGGGAGTTTGTGTTCAGTATAGTCTGTAGAAATAAAACAAATTATGTTATAATCCCTGGTGATGTCAAATCTTTGTAACAGAAACAAGATTGCATAAACCACCGAAATTCAGCTTCGTCTCGCTAGTCTATATTAAAAGTTGGATATGCATCCAATTTAGTCCAGCCAAATTTTATACTCTCTTCCCAACTGTTACTGCCTTTACCCCATTTGAAAGAAGAAAAGATAAAAGACAAATATTCCTTTGTTCACTAAGATTTCTACAGTTTATATCATGAGTCTCTTATGTCCATGTAATAGCTAGATAATACATCAACTCTGAAATAGGACATATATGCCCCAAAATACTTTTTCTCTTTTCAGTGGGCTTCATCCCATGAGTTAATGAATCACATAGTATTATTTTTTATTGGCACAAGTAAATATCAAATACATATCACATTTCTATCACACAATTCTGAATATATCACTAAATGCTAGTGTTACTTTTTGTTGATTTTTAAAATAAAAAATGTTAAACAGCAGAAATTTGTGTTTTTTCCTCACTAAAGCTATATAATAGCTTACAGACAAAATATAAAATAACAAGTGCAGTCATTTCAGAATTGGAACAGAAAAGGAAAATGAAGTCCTGTCTTTTTGTTCTCTTTGAGTACCAGTTTAAGAGTTCTAGAAAGATAATAGGAGGAATTGCCAAATAACTCAAATATCGCAGAAATAAAGAACATAATGTTTTAGATTGGAAGGGTTTGTCAGATTCCTAGCCTCATTGTTAAAAATAGACCCAGACCATGGCATATCAATGTGAAATTTAAAGTAATGGGAAAAAACGCATCTTACAAACTTAGGGAGGGAGAGAGAGAGAAAGAAGTTGCATATAAGAGATTATCAAGAGTCATCAGATGTCTCAAACAGTGGCAGCCAGAAGAAAATGGAGTGTTGCCTTCAAAAATTTGAGGGAAAATTATTTTCAACATAGAATTTTATACCCAAATTATCAATCAGTTGTGAGATTACGATAAAGACATTGTCAAACATGAACATCTCAGGAAATTGATATACTACATACCTTTTCTCTGGAAACCACTGGAAGATATCAAAACAAGGGATATAAATTAAGACAACGACATAAGAATCAGGAAACCAGATCCAACAGGAAAACAAGAATTCATTTGGTGAATTCCAGTATAGTGAAATGAGAGTCCAAAATGGTCTCTTTTCAAAAAGCAACCAGTCCATATTGGAATAAGTCAGAAGGCTGCTGGAGTCAGGGTTGGGAATGTTCTTATAGGAGATGAAATTGATTTAATACCTAAAATAAATGAGCTTAATAAGAGATGACCAGACATCTGATGGAGAATTTAGATTATAATTAATGACAAGTACATAGAAAATTAAGCAAATGAGAAATAATTCCATGGACAGTGCAATAGTATATTACAAAAATGCTCATAATTGATATAATCAAAAATACTTAAAACCAAAAAATCAAAAAGTGGCAATACAAATATATTATTTAAAGATGTGGAAGTAAATACCAGTGAATTAACTAAAAGAACTTTATGGGCTTGCTTCTGAGGGAGAAGAAATGGGAGAGGGATATTGGATTTTGCTGGTAGTATTAGGACTAACTCTCTAAACTCATATAGTTTTGATTAAAAAAATAAAATAAAATGAGGCTTCCAGCTAAAGGACTGTTAAGGATCCATGGCATATATATTCAGATGTAAGGTCCAAATCATATTTCATTGCTACCTTTTTTCTGTATCCACCTGCAGGATAGGTACAGATTTTGTTCTTTAATTTCTCTGTTAATCATAGTGCATTGTTTCCTTGTGCTAGCATATGGCCTGCATTACTTAGCAGTAGTAATTTTGTTTTAGTTTAATAAGTGTTTGGAGGAATAGAAAATGGATTGGTAAAAAGAGTGCTAAGACTATTATTTTAAAAAAGAGAGCACATAACTAGGTAAATGATATCTGTCTACTTCATCTATGATTTTATGTTCTGAAATGCATTCCATTTGAAGAATCATCTGAAGCAGAGGAGCAACCAACAATGTTCAGGAGTTAAGTCATCCCTATTTAAATCAAACTAACCTACTTTTAGGGTAAGGTTTGCTGACATTTGTACAGTATGATTTCTGAGGGTTTATGTAACTCATTGGACAACTCTCCGCCCCTACTCCTTTTTTATGGCACTAAGCCATCGTACTACAAGTCCTGGAGTAGATTTTCATCATTTTGGCCTCAATCGATCTGGTGCGTGTGCCAAAAGCAGCATGACAGCGAATCAAAATTGTATTAAACCCTATTAAAATTTATGTTTCTCCTTTCTCCTTTAAATTTGAATTTGCAATGTTTGATATTGACAGAGATTTCCTAGAGACTAGAGAACAGAACCTAACCCTTCTATTACTTTACATGTTCTTTCAGTCACAGATTTAATCAATAAATTTCTTTTGAGCACCTGCTGTGTACCAGGCATTATACACTTTTTGTCATAGTTAAAATAATTATACACTGTCCCTGCCCTCAAGGAACTTACAGTTTAGTCAGTGAAATGGAATTTTTTAATGAATTTACAAATAAATAAGCAGATCATTGTAAATTATGATAATTGCTAGTGTGAGAAAGTAATGGAATGAGGTGAGGGACTAAATTAGAGGCATAGACTCTAGGTGGGAAGGAGCATTTTCAGACAGTCAGGATTTCAAAATGTTTACCTCCTGTACAGTAAGTGTATAGTAGCTTTCTCGGGAAGCTGCTGAAGGATGCTTCCACTAAAACAAAACAAGTGAAGGTGAAGACATATGTAAGAGTATCTAATACAGGAAGGATAAGAAAGGATCCATCAAAATAATGATTAAGAGAAATTCCAGGTTGTCAGCTGTGCCCCCAAAAGAGAGCAACCAATCTAGATTGAATTTGGTCAGAGTTCTCTGAGAGAAATGTCTAAATAAATTAATAGCATACCTGATGCAGCAAAAGAAAATGAGAGAAATGAATTTCAGTTGTATTTTGGAGGCAGATTAATAGACCTTGGTAATGCGTTGGATGTAGTGTTGAGTGAGAACAAGCGAACAATAACTCCCAGTTTTCTATCTGCATAGATGGATAGATGGAGTGTTCATTTATCAAGTTAAGGAAGTTTGGAGGAAGAACAGAAATCAGAGTAATATCAAAAGTTCATTTTATTCATTGATTTTGAATGCTAGAGGTACTCAAATTGAGGTGTCAAATGATCAGTAAATAAATAGCCTGGAGTCCAAAAGAGGGCTAGAGATATGATTATATAAGTATCAACATATAGGTGCTGTTTTGATACTATGGAAGAAAAGTAAGTTGCCTAGGGTAAGAGAAGGACCAAAAACATAAGAAAGCATGCTAAGCAAAATAAGTCAAACAAAAAAGAACAAGAACTGTATGATTTCACTCATATGTGGAATATAAAATAGAAAGCAACAAACAAAACAAACTCAGAGACACAGACAACAGAAGGGTGGTCACCAGAAAGAAAGGAAAGTGGAGGGAGGGTGAAGAGGCTAGAGTGGGTCAAATATATGGAGACGACTTTGGATGGAGAGCATACAGATTATGTATTATAGAAATGTACACTTGAAACATGTTTAACCAACGTCACCCTGTAACTTAAAAAGATATGAAAGCAAAGGGTCAAGTCCCAAAGAATTGGAATTTATAGAGGTCCAGTGGAAAAGGAGGAGCAGCAAAGGAGACTCCAGAGTGTAGGATGGCCCAAAACTAGTTTGAAGTGGGTTTAGGAATCCATGTGAGTTGAGAAAGTAGCGATAGTGAGTGTAAACAATGCTATCAAGAAACTTGTTTGTGAAAGTGAACAGATAGGTTGGTACTTGAAGAAAAGTAGAATAGAGGGAAGGTGTTTATTTTTAATATTTTTATGTGAGAAATATTAAAGCATAAATGCTCTTGATGAGGCTCTAGAGTGAGGAAGAGAGTTTGGAGGTGCCAAAGAGGCAAGAGGGAATGAGACCCCAAGTACATGTGAAGAATAGTCCTTAAGTAGTAGGCATGTCAGCACCAGTGCAAAGCATACCAGTTTAATGATAACAAGATAGGATTATAAGTCACCTTTAATTCAGCCATGTAAAGTGCAGTCTGTTCTGAGTAATTTTTCTTCTTTGACAAAGCCTCAAAACTATGAATTCATAATTTAGTAATTTTATTGTTGCTATGGTTACCTATATGTAATGCTAGTGAACATTTTTTATAGCCTTGAGTATAATTGGGATAGAATATTTTCTTTAAAGCCTTAGACATTTTTCCTTTTCAGGGACATTAAAAAATGGCTTTGATTGTTCCTGAATGAGAAAGGTGTTTGCATTTATATGTAATAGTACAAAATGACCAAGTATTGAAAGTAATAGAAAACAATTTCTGGGTTTAATTTATTTGCTTACTCTAAATTTTCATTCCTTTTTTTTTTTCAGAGTCAAGTAAAGAACAGTTTGCCAGTACAAACATTGCCGAAGAACTGGTAAAACTCTTCAAGAAGCAGATAGAACATGATAAGAAGGAAATGATTTTTGAGGTTCTTGCTCCATTGGCAGAAAATGGTGAGAAAATAAATGCACCTCTTAATTTTTTTAATCATGTAGACTTTTTCCATTTTTTCTCATATTACTTAATTGTCAGCTATTTAACTCAAAACACTTCATTTTATTAATAAGTTTTATTTTGGATATCTCTAACTTTAGCTACAGTATCTACTCCATAACGATATCTACATTGGCCAAAGCTACTTTGCAAGTTCCTTTGACTTTAAAATCTTGGCAAAGATGGTTTTGTAGCTTACATATTCTTATGCCAGTCTGGAAAAGGCAGCTGAGTGGTTGAACTCCCATTTATATACCCTTTCAGAACAAGGGGGATAAAAGTTGGGAGTCCCAGGCCTGCCAAAAGTGTGGACACTGGTAAGCTACTCCCATCTTTGGGCAAAAAATTTTAAGGGATACACTCTAAGAATAAGAATGAATCAGATTAAACAAACCATCCTATATAAATAATTTTTCAAATACAGTGTCTAGCACATAATCAAAGTGGACCAGACACATGAGGAGGCAAGACATTGTAAGCAAAAACCAGCACAAAGAACAGGCAACAGCAGCAAATCTCCAGATACTGGAATTATTAGACATTGACTCAAAACAGGTATGCTTATTATATTGAGTTAAAAGCAAGCTTGAAAAATTTAGAAGGAAACTAGAAACTATAAAAAGTGACATAGCAAATTTTAAGAAGAAACAGTTGGAAATTCCTGAATTGAAAAATACAATCCAAATTAGCAACCTAATGGATGAGTTTAATGGCAGATTAAAGATAGTTGAATTAGGGAACCAGAGAACTGGAAGATAGATTGAAAGGAAATCCAAAAAGAAAAGAACTAATGTTCATTTAAAAAAAAAAAAAAAAAGATATAGAGGATATAATGAGCAGTTCTCATATATATTTTTTTGGAGTCCCAAAAAGTGGGGGGCAGAAGGAGTGGGCAGAGGAAATATTTAAAGAAATTTTGATAGAAAATTTATCAGAAATCAAAGATTCAAGAAGCCGAATGAATCTAAAATATGATAAAAAGAAATCTACATCTAGATACATCATATTGAAATTGCAGAAAACCAATGACAAAAGTCTTAAAAGTAGCCAGGAGAAAAATAGATTATCTTAAAAGGGGCAACACTTTGACCGACAGCTCACTTCTCAACAGCAACAATGAAAGCCAGCTGACAGTGAAACATCTTCCATGCGCTGAAAGAAAACAAATGCCAACCTAGAGTTCTAAGCCCGGTGAAAATACCTTCAAAGCTGAAGGTAAAATAAAATTATTTTCAATGAAAAACAAAATTCACTACCAGTATACTCTCACAAAAGGAAATTATATCAGGTTTTTGTCAGAAATAAGGAAAATGCTTCCAGAAGGAAGGTTACATCCAAGGGAGAATGAAGAGGGAAAAAACTGGTAAATATATAGGTAAATCTTAAGAACATTGAATATATAAAATAATTTATTGTGAAGTTTAAAACTGTATATGTATATAATTTAAAATATATCACAAAATGGATATATAAGTTTTGAGGGACATGAAAGGTATGGAAGAGTCCCAAGACCCTTGTGTTATCTGGAAGAAAGTACCATTAGACTCTGATTATTCAAGGATTTCAACTTTTAAGGTGACTACTAAAATAATTTTTAAAAACCATGTGTAATTACCAAAATAATGGAAGGATTTGTAGAAAGATTTATTTTTAAAATACCCCTTCAATCCAAAATAACAGAAGAGAGGAGAGAAAAGAGAACATGGAACAGAGGCTACAAATAGGGCATAAAAAATATACTAGATTTAAGACAGTGTTTCAGTAATTATGTTAGTACACGTGGCCTAAATGCTTTAGTTTAAAAACCAATTGTCAACTAAATTTTAAAAAACCAACTATACTTTTTAAAACAAGCAACACTGTTAAATATGAGGAAATTTAAAAAGTTGAGAATAGGATTGAAAAAAATATACTATTTAAACCTAAAGAAGGCTGAGGTAGTTATCTTAATATCAGATCAAACAGATCTGATATTAAGATTAAGACGTGCTAGAGATAAAGATGGTAACTTTATAGTAATGAAAATTCTAATTAATTTGGAAGGTATAACAATTATATATTACCACAAAACATGAAGAAAAAATATCCAGAACTATATGGAGAAATAAATAAATCCATAAATATTATAGAAGCTTTTAATACTTTTTTCATTAATTTCTAGAATAAGCAGATTTAAGACAATAAGTATAAAATATGTGAACAACATGATTAAGAAAATCGATTTAATTGACATATTTTAGAACACTGTACCCAGCCACAGAGCCCTTTCTTTTCAAGTACATGCGAAACATATAAAAAACATGTTATAAAACAAGTTTCAGCAAATTCAAAGGATTATAACCTTACAGAGTATGTTCTCTGACTTAAATGAATCGTCTGATAATAAAAACTAGGAAATTCTTGTATGTTTAGGTATTTAAAATTATACTGCCAATACTTTAGAGGTCAAAGAAGAATCATGATGGAAATTAGGAAATTTTCTAATAATGAATGTGAAATTACCGTCTCAAATCTTATGTGATATAGGTTAAACCGTACTTACAGGGAATTTTTTGCTTTAAATGAATGTATTAGAAAAGAAAACAGTAAAATAAGTAAACTCAATATTTATCTCAGAAATTTAGGGGGAAAAGACAAAGGAAGCTCAAACAACATAGAAGGAAAGAAATCTAAAGAGCCAAAATTAATAAAATAGAAAATACATAATGCTATAGAAGCATATAATCACTAAAGCCAATCTGAATTAACTGTTAAATCCCTAATAAGATTAATCAGGAAAAAAGAGAAGGCACAAATAACCAAAATCAAAAATGCAAAAAGAGATCTTAACTACAGATCTTACAGACTTTATTAAAAGGATGTTATGAACAAGTTGATGCCAAAACATTTTAAAGTATGGATGACACAAGAAGAAATAGAAAAGCTGAGTAATCTTATCTTAAATTTTTTCCAGAGAATAGGAAAAGCAGATACTCACCAATTTATTTTATGAGACTAATGTAACCTTTATACCAAATACCAACAAAGACAAGACAATAATGAAAATTAATGGCCAGTCTCACCATGAACATAGATCCAAATTTCCCTTTGAAATTTTAGCAAATTCAATCTAGTAATATATTTAAAATTCATCATCATAGCATAGTGGACTTACTCTGAAAATACAAAGCAATTTGATATCTAAAATGCAATTAACATATTTTATCACATTAAAATTTATTGAAGGGAATATATCATATGATCTTAGATTTAGAAATCTATGATTAACTATTCATTCATGATTTTTTAAAACTCTTTGCAAATCAGCACTGGAAGTGAATTAAAAGGATATATACCAGAAGCCTACAGAAAACATCACTCAGTGGTGAAACAAAAAGCATTTCTTTTGAGATTAGGACTAAGAAGGATCATCCTTACTTTTATTATTTATCCACTGCAGTAGAACAAGAAAGAAAAGATATGGGAAATAAATTATATCCATAAGTGATATGATTATGTATATCAAAAATCCAAAAGAATCTATTGATCAATTTTTAAAAATCAATCACAATTAGTTAAATTGCTAACTAAAACAAAAAAACAAATCAAAACATTGTATTTCTATATACCAGAAAAAAGAAAGTAAGAAAATACATTTAAAAAAATATATTGTTTACCATAGTATAAAGTATCAAATACTTTTAGAATGGACTAATAAAAGATGTGTGAGATCTCTGGCAGAAAACTATAGAAATTCATCAAGATAAATTAAAGAAGATCTAAATAAATAGTTATATATATTGCTTTCATGAGCTGAAAACCTTAATGGTGTGATATTATATCTCCCCATATTAATCTGTAGGCTCAATGCAATTCTAACGAAAATTCTAAAAGACCAGGAATAGCTAAGATAGTATGAAAGAAAACGGTAGCAGAATTGTTTTTAGTACATAACAATAATTAAACTTTTATTCTGATAAAACTGGTAATTTAAGGACAGTGTGGTATTGGTGCAAGGATGGATGAGAAGACCAGCGGAACAGGATAGCACAGAAACAAACAGATGCATTCACAGATGTCTATTTTATTAAGGGGAAAAAGGAAGTCACTGTAAAACTGTGGAAAGTACAGTCTTTTCAATAAACAGTGCTGGGAATATAGGGGGAAGTACAATTGGAGAGACATACATACCCCCACTTTATACTGTATTTAAAAAAAAAAATTAATTTCAGATAGATAATTGACTTAAATGTGAAAGTTTAAACCACAAGGTTTATCTTAAAATACAAGGTAGGAGAATATCATCATGGCCTTAGAATACGGAAAGTTTTCTTAGGTCACAAAAAGCTCTAACCATAAAGGAAAAGACTGATGAATTTGGTTATTTTAAAAGTAAAAACTTCCTTTTCTCAAGACACCATTAAGAGTGAAAGGGAAGACAGTAGGTAAGAGATGTTTACAGCACATATGACCATGAGAAAGTTTATGTATACAAAGTGTAAAAACTTGCACAAATCATTAAGAAAAATGAAGAAAACCCAGTGGGAAAATATGTAAAAGATTTGAGTAAGCACCTGACAAAAGATAAAACCCAAATGGCTAATAAACACATAAAAATATGCTCAACTCATTAATAATCAGGAAATGCAAAATAAAATACTGTATACCCACTGGAAAGTCTGATAATACCAAGCATTGATGAAGATGTGGAACAGTGGACACTCTCATTAAGTGCTGGTAGGAATGTAAATTGGAACACTTTAGAAAACAATATCTACTGAATTGCACACATACATTCCTTATGATCCAGCAATTCCACTCTTAATAATATATCCAGAAACATGTGCACCAGGAGCCATTATGGAATGTTCATAGCAGCATCATTTATAATGATGAACAATTATAAACAACTCATCCATTAACAGTAGAATAAATAAATCAGTGTATATTCATATAATGGAAAAATATATAGTTAAGAAAAGGAATGAAGTCATTTAAAACTAATAGTGTAGATGAATCTTATGACAAGGATAAAGCCAGCTCTGAAAAATATATATTGTAATTAGCAATGAATTTCTTGATCTAGAAAATATATATTGTAATTAGCAATAAATTTCTTGATCTAGAAGGTAGTTACATAGTTATTTGCTTATTAACAGTTAAATGCATATTTTACACACTTTTCTACATTTATGGGATTTTTTTCACCATTTAGAAAAGATTTTTAAATACATATATATACATACATATATATGCAAACAGTGGTGATAGATGTCCTTGGGCAGAATGGTGTTGATAAGTATGTGCTGAGCTGTCTGCTTTGGCAAAATGCCTTGTTAATCTTCCTTAATAAGGCTATCTAAGCCTCCCACATATACATGTGATTACAGTCAAACTGTAAGAGGAAAGATCTGTAAACTTTAATCTTGACAGATTTTAAATTTTCTAAATGCCTTAGATCTATTCTTTAGGGGAGAAATTCATTTTTCTATCTCATTTGGTGGTTTAGCCAAATTTTTATTGTGACCTTTAGCCTGTTTTTATGCCAGACAATTACCTATAACCTTTCTTGGAATGTTTCACAATAACAGTATTTTTATTTCTTATTTGTTTCTCTTCTACCACCTTCACTTCTATTTTATAATTGTGCAGTGGATTAAATGACACCTTTGAAAACAAATTTCTGGACCATCCTTAGCATATCATTCCCTGGTTTTTACCTTATATGCAAAGGAAAGTTATTCCAACATTTAAATTGGGATTTTGTATAATTTAAGTTTTCTTAGTATTTTTAAAGCTTTTTTCATCATGGCTTTCGATTCTAATCACCATACATTTCTAGCCCTAGCATTCTGTAACCAAGGAAACGCCCTACTTTTAGCATTGCACAGTGCAAATGTATCTTTTAAAAAATATTCCAGGTTGAATGTTCTGTGTATTCTGAGATAATAGTCTGAGGAAGATCTGTGGTCTTGATGGTAAAAAACAAAAAACAAACAAACAAAAAAAAAAACCCTAAGATTTTACACATGAAAATTGCTTAACAGAAAAAATCTTAAGAAGTATTAAAAGTCTCCCAAATAAGAAGATAAAACTGCCACTGCTGTAGATATGTACATATACAGCTTAGGGAAACCAATGATTAAAATAAAATTCAACTAAAAAATAAAACTTAAGTTTAAAACTTTTTGTGTAGCAAATGTATTTCTCAGGTCAGTTGAGTAGCATTTATCTTAAGAGATATCAGAAACACCCAAAATATTTAGGTAGGCCAGTTTAGGTTAAAATACAAAGATGAATGGCGTATAATATCTGTTCTAATCGAAAAGACATATGGATGCGAAATCAAAATTTTTAATGAAATAAATTTTCTATAATGAAAATATATTTAAGTTATTAGGGTGGTGCAAACAAAATTGATTTGATATGGGTGTAGAATTTGCTATGAAGATAGTCTTAAAAATATAATTGAGATGTAAATTCCTTATTTTGTTGGTTATTCATCAGAAATCCTGAAAGTTATTTTCTCTCTCATCTTTTATTATGGAAATTTTAAAACCTGTTCAGGTATAGAGAGAATATAGTATAATGAACCACCATATATTCATCACCCAAGAAAGTTTCAAATTAATAAAAACCTGAAGCTTTTTTTTAAAGATGACTTATAAAATTCAGGTTATAGATTTATTAACTGCCCTAGAAAGAAAACATACAAATATGAATCCAAATTTACTTGTGATATAGTTTGAAATTTACTAATAGTGCTTTACTTTCCAATAACTTGTATTCAAACTCCATTAGTAGATATATTTTAACTTTATGTAAATTACGTATGTTTTGTTTTAAACTGTGGGATATTTTATAGTATTGCTTTTTAAACATGAGCATAATATCTGGAATAACAGTGCAGAGATATTACTTAACTTCGGAGCTGAGAATCAGTTTGTTTAGGTGCTGCCACACATTGTGAAAGGTAACATAATTTCAAATAGAAAAATGAAATAAAGCTTTTCTGTATTTAGGCTGCACTGTCAGATACTTTCTTTTGAAATTCATATCTTTGAAGGTGTGCTACCCATATCATGCATTATTCTCAGTTTCTTAAAATTCTTCATAATAGAGTGGTTATACCAGAACTCCTATTTCATCTCAAGTTTAAGTTAATTTGTTTACATTATTATTTAGATGCTATTAAACTACAACTGGTTGAAGCAGGCCTGGTAGAGTGTCTACTCGAGATTGTTCAGCAGAAAGTGGATAGTGACAAAGAAGATGATGTTGCTGAGCTCAAAACCGCTTCAGATCTAATGGTTTTATTACTTCTTGGAGGTAAGTTGTAATTTTGTCCATCCAAAGAATGTGGTTGTCAGATTTTTAAAAATTTGTCTCTTATAAACAGTATATTAGGCATTTTCTCATTTTCCTATTTCATTTAATCCTGTTGATGTGATGATTTTGAAACCTTAAACATATCAGGGACTAGAGAATAATGAACCTGGAAAAAAGAAGAGTCTTCACAATTTTTCATTATTTAAAGACCTGTCATATAGAAGAGACAGCACCAAAGGACTAATAGCCAGATGGTTACTTGGAACTTAGACTAGAAAAATTCTAAGCTCTCGTCCAGTTTCTACTAAAAGTTTATTATAAGAAGAGTCATTACTTTTCCCTTTATGAATTAGTTTTTGAGGTATGTAGTTGGATATTAATACACTTAATGGATTTGTTCCCCCTAATTATTTTCCTCTTATCTGTTTGTTTCATTTACCTCCAGATGAATCCATGCAGAAATTATTTGAAGGAGGAAAAGGTAATGTGTTTCAAAGGGTGCTGTCCTGGATTCCATCAAATAACCATCAGCTACAGCTTGCTGGAGCATTGGCAATTGCAAATTTTGCCAGAAATGGTAAGAATATTATTTCACTTTAACTCAAATGTTCTTTTTTAATTTTTGCTTTTCCATCACATGTACTAAAACTGAAACAGTTCAGAATTATATGTAATAGATATATATGTACTGCTACCTTAAATTTCCAGAGATCTGGAATATTTATAGTGACTCTCCTAACAAATTACATACTTATGCAGTTCATCTAAGTTCTAGAAAAGATCATGAATGACGATCATGAAGTCCTTCTGTGAGTATTCTGCACTTCAGAGATTAGTAAACTTGAGTCCCATTCTACTAAACATATCTGGGAGGATATGCTCTCTTGCCTGGTGATTTTATTTTGGATTTAATAATCTGAGTATTCACTGTAAGGTTATTGTGCCTCAATTTATACTTTTATGCCTACAAAACTTAAGTGTGGCTAATTCTCTGGTTTAAAGTAGAATATTTCATTATCTTAATAATATTTCAGAGGCACTAGATTTCCATGTTTACTTCTGAAGTGTGGCAAAGCAGCTATTAGTCTAGAAACTCATACTATGTCTAGGAAATATGGTTGTGTTTAGTTTGATGTTATTCCAATATGAACTGTTGTTATAATTGATGACAGTCCATTTTCAGTCTCTTCTTTTTGGAAACCATCATTAACTCCTTAATGATGGAATTAATACTGGCAAAATATTGATAATTGTTGAAGCTAAATATGGAGTAAATAATGGTTCATTATAATATTCTCTCTGCTTTATAAATGTTTCAAAAATTCTATCATTGAAAAATAATTTAAGTGTCAGCCATGATCAAATATAGCATACTGCATATCACTGGCAGAATTCAGGCATACTTCACTATAAATATGAACTATCAGTGGGCATATTAAAGCATATGGTTTTAATTTATTTATCTTCTATTACCAGTTTAAGCTAGAGAGTTTTCTGATTTTTGAAATTTTTACCTATTTTAAGAATCTTATAATTGGACTTCTCACACAGAGGGAAAAAAACTGTAAATCTAACAGAAGAGTTAGAATTTGCTTTATTTTCTTATGGCTTCATTTTCACTAATGTAGATAATGGGTGGGCATCAGTATTACAAAATATTTATGGATTTTGTAAAGAGGAAGCAAAAAATGCTTTTGTTTTGTTCAGATGGAAATTGTATCCATATGGTAGACAATGGAATTGTAGAAAAACTTATGGATTTACTGGACAGACATGTAGAAGATGGAAATGTAACAGTACAGCATGCAGCACTAAGTGCCCTCAGAAATCTGGCCATTCCAGGTAAGACAAGAATGGGAGGCAACTGTGTAAGAAATAAAATCTATCATTTGGGGAAGACATTTACTTGATGTGAACCTGTCCTGACCAAGAAAAGGAAAAAAAAGTCTGCAAATTGTTTACATTTTTTTTTTTTTTTTACTAAAAATAGAGATATGTCAAATAAGTTTTCTGGGACTATACAACCATAATTTTTGCTTTTGTTCAGATTATTCAAATATTTTGTTACCTTTCGTGAACTAAGATTTTCATCATATTTGGCATAATTAAGCTTTTTTAAGCATCTTCAGTCAAGATGAGGTAATGGCATCAATTAACAGAGTCCCTTAAAGAATGACTTTTGAGATTTATTTTTATTTCCTACAAGCAGACAAACAATTTTTAAAAATACTCCTAATGTGTCTTTTTGGATTAAAAACTTTTGAGCCATGAAATCACATTACCATGGGAAATAATACAGGAGATGGTTTAAACTATTCTTTTATTCTACTTTCTAAAAATAAATTTCTGATTATATAACATAGTTTAACTATATGAAGATACAACCTATGGATTCAGTTTGGTTCATATAGCAGATTGATGTATGATTTTGTATGCTATGCTCCTATAGACAAACAAGATTTTTTTTTTAATAGAAAACTATAACATGGAGCCTTAAAGATAATAAGACCCTAAATAAATGTGTATTGAATTGAATGATTATCATCAAGAATGCAAACACCATTTTAACCATAGTCTCTCTTTTCTCTCTCTCTCTCTAGTTGTAAATAAAGCAAAGATGTTATCAGCTGGGGTCACAGAGGCCGTTTTGAAGTTCCTTAAATCTGAAATGCCCCCGGTTCAGTTCAAACTTTTGGGAACATTAAGAATGTTGATAGATGCACAAGGTAAAAGAAATGCTTTCCCAAGGTGCATTTTTAGTATGATAGTCTCAGTGTGCCACTAGCTGGAAAAGAACTCGTTTTTAGCTTCCAGAATTATGTAATCATAAAGATAAATAGCTAATAAAAGGCAAAAAGAGATTGGTTTTAGAACCCAGTCATTAATTCCCATGCTTGTTATAATTGACTTTAAATGGAAATTATATTGTATCTCTCTTTATTACTACATATAATCCTAGTTTTAGGTTGATTTATTAGCAGTTTCTGTGGGTTTCTATGTTTTAATATTCCATACCCATTTTTACTTTGTCTTCAAAATCATCATATTTCAATACAGTGAGTCAACATTTTTAAAAATTTGTTTTGCACACAGGGAGATTGTTTTTGTTTATAAAAACAGTAATGGAAACCACTCCTTGGAATGAATTATATTTACTTATTTCTAGATTCTAAACCTTTCTCTATACTGATTCCTTAAGGTCCTTCTAAAAACTCTGTGACAGCTTGCCAGAGTACCAACAGACTACCAGGCTGACCCAAAAGAGTATAAAGTGGCTTATTTTTGTATTTTGTACAAAAGACCACAACTTTATAGAAAAGGCCAAATAGACCATCAGATATGGAGTACTGTATTTGCAGTTCTTGCTTTAATAAAATTGTTGAGTTTTTTAGACATAGAATATTCTTTCACACTCTTACATCTTTACCAATTATTTCAGTTGATTGCCTATCAGTGATTCATTCCTTTGTGGTTTACCTTCTTTCCTATAGCAGAAGCTGCTGAACAACTGGGAAAGAATGTTAAATTAGTGGAGCGTTTGGTCGAATGGTGTGAAGCCAAAGATCATGCTGGTGTGATGGGGGAGTCAAACAGACTGCTCTCTGCCCTTATACGACACAGTAAATCAAAAGTAAGTTCCAGAGGAAACCATTCACTGGAAAACATTTGAGTGGCCTTTTTGGAAACCCAGTATTGTAGATCCCACATCATAAGCTTGCATTTTTATGTATTTATCTATAAATACATTAATCAGAAATTCTGAAAAAATAGTTGAAGATTGAGCTTTTTGTAGTTCTGTTCCATAATCATTAAGAGTAAGGCTTTGGAATCAAACAGAGATGAGTTCAAATTTTATCTCCACTATTGGTCAAGTGTCTTCACATCTCAGTATCTTAATGTGTGAAAACCAGGATAATACCTATCTGAAAGTGTGGTGAGAATGATTCAGTGAGATCACATATGCAAAGTACTCATGTGGTACCCGGGGCTCAGTAAATGGAGGTTGTTGCTGTTGCTGTTATTTTTACCACAACCAGCACCACCATTACCCGCATCAGTGTCAAACGTCTTGTGTGTGCTAGGCACTGACCAAGCTAGCTACTGACATTTAGAAATTAAATGATATCTTGATAGTATATGATGCCCAGAACTGTAAAAGTTGGACGAAATCCATTCTCATGACAGTATCTAGCCTATTATGTGTCTGGCACATGGTCAGTAACCTATAAATATTTGTTGAGTGAATGAATAAATGAACTCTTTTAAAGATCACAGTGAACTCTTTTAAAGATCACAATGGTGAAAACCCAGGCCAGCAGTTCAGTAGCTGATTTAGTATCTAGATTATATACCTTTTTTCTTCTATAACCTCTTTTCTAAGGCGAGCCTTTTAACAGTTTCACTTGTGTACAACTGCAGAGAGGCCAACTCTGTCTGGGTGTCACAGGGGAAGATTCACTATGATGAATTCAATACATAAATTTTTGCACAGACTCTACAAATGGTTAAGAACAAGGATCTAGCATTCAGACTGCCTGGATTTGTTTTTTCACCTGGGAGTTCCCACCCCCTCGTCCCCGCCACGGGACTTGGAGCCTGGAGCCTGGTGCTGCTACTGTGGGCAGGAGGGGTGGGATGGAGTTGAGGGGAGAAGGGTCCAACCTCCTGACTCCCTACTGCCTGGATTTGAATCTTGACTTGTTAACCACTTAATCACTGACTTTGGGCAAATTTCATAACTTAACCTGAGCTTCAGTTTCTTCGCCTATAAACTAGAGATAATATCTAGCCGATGGGATTTTCTGTGAGGACAAAGATGAGCTAATATCTCTAAACTATCCAATACAGTGTCCAGTGAATAGTAGTTGTTCCATAAAGGGTAACTGTTGGTATTATTCATTCTCTTTTGCATTATGACATAAGTATAATGCTTCATTTATCTTATCCTTCATTCTGTCAGGCAAAGCAACTCCATAGAGCTTTTCAATAAGCATCTATTGATCCACTCTTTCTTCTACTACAGTGCACTTTTCAGGATGAATCATAAAATAAGAGGATGAAATGACAGTTCAGGAACCTTCCCTAGGTGACCGTATATGTACCTATGAATCTCTGAGTCTTCTTAATAAGTTTCTTTTTATAAAATTTTTTACTAATTTTTAAGATTTTAATTTCAGTTTCAAATAAACTGTCACTAAGTAAGCAGTATATTGCGAAGCTTTCTTTTCATCATAAAAAGCTTTAAGAAATAGTTTCTCACTTTCTAAAAGAGACTGATGGGAAAAAAACATTTTAAATGCTAGAACAATGCTTCTATAAAAACTCAGTACTTGGACTCCACTGATTTAGCATGTTTGATTACAAAACAAGTTTCCGCAAAAATACTGTCTATAAATACTTCTCTCAAAATTTACATAAGATGGAAGCATTAAGAAACTCTTTTTCAAATATTTTACCAAATTAATTTGAAAAATATTTCTAATTACAGTTAGTTTTATACCATTGAAACTAACTTGGGTAGGCTACTTAAAATATCCAGCTTCAGATTACTAAAAATAGTAAAAACTGGCAAAGAAAGTTACTTTAAAAATATTCTATAATTGAGATTTTTCACTAAATCATATTTAATCCAAGAATTTTTAGGGAACTAAACTCTGAGATGAAAACAAAAATGGAAATAAATGTGAATTTTTTTTCATCTAACCTTTGCTATATATTCCTATATGTGATTTTCATGTAATAACTTTAATTATCAAGAAACCTGTGATATATATATATACATTCATTATCCCAACATTATAAAGTCACTGAGATGTAGAGCAGTTCAGTAATTTGTTGGTGATAGGATTTCTGTCTGGAGCCCACTGCCTCATCTGCCACTGGAGAGGACAGACCTGTAGGCACCATGAGAAATGAGACAATTTTGATTTACGTTCTGCTCAAGTCCCTTTATATGTAATCCAGTTTTGTCAGATCCAACAAAGGGTAAATGCTACCAAAAAAAAAAATCTTTACCTGGAGCATTTGGAGAATAATAACCTTGTGTTATAATAAAAATTGGGAAAAAACTTTTTTGTTATTACAAGTTTTATTCTCTTCTGTTGATCCTATGGTAAGTCAATATTTGGGTCAATGACAGTTGTTCTTTGGTAGCTTCTGGGACTTTCTGTTCCTTGATATGAACTGCAGTGGTCTTTTTCATTTAGGTAATTTAAAGTGTCATCTTTTGATGAATTTATTTAAAGCTAAAAGCTTTTTCTTCTGTGAAGAAAAAAAAAATTGTAATGGTTCATACAGGACACTGTCAGAAAACCATTCAATTTAACAATGAATTGAGTGATTATAATGCAGATTCTTTATGTTTAAAATTGAAGTTTATAATTCCGTGATATTTATTTATTGTAGGATGTAATTAAAACCATTGTACAGAGTGGTGGCATCAAGCATCTAGTTACCATGGCAACTAGTGAACATGTAATAATGCAGAATGAAGCCCTTGTTGCTTTGGCACTAATAGCAGCTTTAGAACTGGGTAAGTACCCCAGTGACAAACTTATTTTCTCCTATTTTATCTTGGATGAAAGGAAGCACCCAAGTGGAACAGAAGTCTGATAGAACGTTGACTGCAAGTATTTTGCTAGTGTGTATCTATACCTATATCTGAATATAATGGTAACATTTTGCAAACCTATAAATATTATAATAGTCCAACTATTGATATAATTTACCTCTTATTCAGATTTTTCCAGTTTTACTTGTACTCATTTGTATGTAAAATTCTATACAGATTTTTTATACATGTAGGTCTGTATATCAACCATCACAGTAAAGATACTGAACAGTTCTAATACCATAAGTATCCCTCCATTTATAACTACACTCACCCACCTCCTACCCCTACCTCCCACCTGTTCCTACTCCCTGGAAACCACTAATATGCCCTTCATTTCCCATAATGTTTTCATTTCAAAAATGCTGTATAAATGGTATCATATAGTATGTGACCTTTTGGAATGAGCTTCTTTAGCTCAGCATAATTTCCTAAAGAATCATCCAATTTGTACTGTGTGGTAGACATTTTTATTGCTAGATAGCATTCCCTGGTATATATGTACAGTTTAACTAACCTGTTGAAAGACATCTGGGCTGATTTTAGTTTAAAGCTTTTAAAAATAAAGTTGCTATAAACATTCACATACAGGTTTTTATGTGAACATAAATTTTCATTTCTCTGGACAAATGCCCAGGAGTGCAGTTGCTGGGTTGTATTGTGACTGCATGTTTAATTTTTTAAGAAACTGTCAAACTGCCTTCCACAGTGGCTATCCCATTTTACATTCCTACCAGCATTGTTTAAGTGATTAGTTTTCTGTGCATTTCACCAACATTTGATGTTGTCACTATATTTTATTTTAGCCATTCTGATAGCTCTGTAGAGTTATCTCATTGTGGTTTTAATTTACATTTTTCTAGTGATGTGGTCGAACTTCTCTCCATGTGCTTATTTTCCATCTTATGTATTCTTTGGTGAAATGTCTATTTGTCTTTTGTTCATTTTCTTTTTTTAAGCTTTGCTTCCATGCTCAACAAAGCTATTGACTTTATTATTTTTTTAATAAACTATAGGCATCGAACAAACAATCGTGTAAAAGGAAGTTTCAATGAGATAATACTTTCTACCCAGTAAACATATAATCTTCATTTTCTTCTGGCTAGTCAGCTATAATTTAATGTTCTTTGTCCTTTTTCTGAGAGTGTTCATTTTCTAATTATTTAACTCTTGACTTTTGAGAATTCTTTATATATTCTAAAAGTTTTATAATTTTACATTGTAGTTTAGGTCAGGGTTCCTTTTTTGTCTGGGGCTAATTGCCAGCATCATTTGTTGAAGAGGTTATCTTTCCTTTATTGAACTGATTTTGAACCTTTGTCAAAGATCAGTTGAACATATTTGTGTGAGTCTGTTTCTGGGGTCCTCTATTCAGTTCCTATGATCTATTTGTGTCTCAACCAAAGCCACATCATCTTGATAACTGTGCTTGCTTTATAGTGAGCCTTAATATCAGGTAGAAGAATTCCTCCTACTTTATTCTTTTGTATCAAGATTGTTTACCTCTTCTAGGGCCTGCGGCTTTTCATATAAATTTTAGCATAAGTTTATCTATTTTTGATAGAAAATCCTGCTGGGATTTTGATAGGAATTAATATTTTTTCTCTCTTAAAGATACATACTGAAATACATATGGAGAAAATTATGTGATTTATAGGATTCGATTCAAAATTATTTGGGATGGGTGAGAGTAAGTGGTTGAGACTAGAGATAGATGAAACAAGATTGGCCATGATAATTTATGAAGATGATGATAGTACATACTGTATATCATTATACCATGGTTTCTGCTTTTTGTGTATGTTTAACATTTTTGATAATATTTTTTAATTGCCTCATATTAAAAGGAATGTTTTAATTCTGAATTTTAAGCCTAAACTTCTGAAGTGTCTGCTGAAATTTAGCTATATCTAATATTTTCACAAGGTCTGAATTTCATATAATATATCTAAGTTATTATTTATCAGTCCCTTTTAGAAGGTTTCACATGGTCAGTTTCTAGAAAGGGAAGCTAGCTATGTTTAGCCAGATCACACTGGATTCATACACAGTAGATATAACTAATACTTTAATCATGTCATATTCTAGGCACTGCTGAGAAAGATCTAGAAAGTGCTAAACTTGTACAGATTTTACACAGACTGCTAGCAGATGAGAGAAGTGCTCCTGAAATCAAATATAATTCCATGGTCCTGATCTGTGCTCTCATGGGATCTGGTGAGTATTTCTTCTGTCATTTGATGTCTATCAACATGTGTTTGACTTTATTAAATATAGAGTAATGGTAAATGGTGGATTTGAGTTTAAAAAGCATTAGAAATTAGTTTATAGAGGTTTATTAGTTATGGAGGTTGAAAATATTCCCAAATTATCATATAGCAAATACAGGCAAAATCAATGTTAAAAATCAATACCTATACGTTTCACCAATCTTAAAATATTATTTTATATAAAGAATAAGTTCTGATTTTGTATGCCATGATATTAGCTAAGGAATTTGTTCGAGTACCATTAGCATATCTTGGTATACGTTTCGTGGATAATTGAAAAGAATGTGTATTCTGCTGTTATTGGATGGAGTGTTCTTGAAATGTCAATTACATACTTTGGGTTGGTAGTGGTGTTGAGTTTTCTATATTCTTGCTGATTTTCTGACTAATTGTTCTATTAGTTGTTGAGGGAGGGGTGTTGACATCTTTGACTGTAATGGTGGATTTATGCATTTCTCCTTTCGGTTCTATCAGTTTTTGCTTCACATATTTTGTAGCTCTGTTAGTAGGTGCATACAACATACCTTCTTGGTGGATTAACCTTTCTATCATTATGTAACGTTCCTCCCTTTCAGTTTTCTTTGCTCTGAAGTCTACTTTATCTGATATTAAAGTAACTACTCCTCCTTTCTTTTGAATAACATTCACATGATCTTTTTCCACCCTTTTAGTTTCAGTCTGTATACCATATTTGAAGTGTGGACAGCATATTGTTGGGTCATGTGCTTTCTATTTTTGTTTTTTATTTAAATATATTTATATACAATTTAATTTGTTATATTAGTTTCAGCTATACAATATAGTGATTGAACATTTTTATAGCTTAGTGTGACTACCCCACTAATTTCTAGTAATCATCTGTCACCATGTAAACTTATCACACCATTATTGTCTATATTGCCCTTCATCTTTTCACTCATCCCCCACCACCCACTCTTCTGCTTGGTCTCTGTTTCTATGAGTCTATTTTTGTTTTATTCATTTGTTTTGTTTTATCAGACTCCACATATTAGTGAAACCATACAGTATTTGTCTTTGTCTGACTCATTTCACTTACCATGTTGTAGCAAATGGCAAGATTTTATTCTTTTTTATTGCTGTGCAATCAATATTCCATTGTGTGTGTGTATACCTACCACATCTTCTTTATCCATTCATCTATCATCAGTGGACACCTAGGTTGCTTCCGTATCTTGGCTATTATAAATAATGCTACAGTGAACATAAGGGTGCCTTTATATCTTTTCAAATTAAAAGTAGAATTGCTGGGTCATATGGTAGACATCTTTTTAGTTTGAGGAATCTCCATACTATTTTTCCATAATGGCTGCATCAATCTGCAGTCCCACTAACAGTACACAAAGGTTCCCTTTTCTCCACATCTTTACCAACGCATGTTATTTGTTGACTTTTTGATTATAGTCATTCTGATTGGTGTCAGGTGGTATCTCATCGTGATTTTGATTTGCATTTCCCTGATGATTACTGACGTTGAGCATCTTTTCATACGTCTGTTGGCAATCTGTATGTCTCCTTTGGAGAAATGTCTTTTCATGTGCTCTGCCCATTAATTGATAGGATTATCTTTTTATTGAGTTGTATGAGTTTCTTATATATTTTATATATCAACCCCTTATCAGATATAGCATTTGCAGATATATTCTCCCATTCAGTAGTTCATTTTTTTGTTTGTAGATGGTTTCCTTCACAATGCAAAAGCTTTTTAGTTTGATGAAGTCCCATTTGTTTATTTTTGCCTTTGTTTCCCTTGTTTAAGGGGTCATATCCAAAAAGATATTACTCAGACTGATGTCAAAGAGTTTACTACCTATGTTTTCTTCTAGAAGTTTTATCATTTCAGTCTTATATTTAAGTCTTTAATCCATTTTGAGTTTATTTCTGTGTATAGTATAAGAGTGGTCCAGCTTCATTTTTCTGCATCGATGTGTCCAGTTTTCCCAGCACCACTTGTTGAAGAGACTATCTTTACTCCATTTTATATTCTTACCTCCTTCATCATAGATTAGTTGACCATATAAGGCTCTCTGTACTCTTCCATTGATCAATGTGTCTGTTTTTGTGCTAGTACCATACTATTGATCATTATAGCTTTGTAGTATAGTTTGAAATCAGGTAGCATGACACCTTATTTGATGTTCTCTTAAGATTGCTTTGGCTATTTGTGGTCCTGTGTGATTCCATATAAATTTTAGGATTATTCTAGTTCCGAGAATGTTGTTGGTATTTTTATGGGAATTGCATTGAATCTGTAGATTCCTTTGGGTTAATATGGTCATTTTAATGGTATGAATCTTTTAATCCATGAGCATGATATGTCCTTCCATTTATTCGTGTCCTTTTCAATTTCTATCCTCAGTGTCTTACAGTTTTCAGAGTATAGGTCCTTCACCTCCCTGGTTAAATTTATTTCTAGGTATTTAATCTTTTTGATGCAATTGTAAATGGATTTTTTAAATTTCTCCTTCTGATTGTTCATTATTAGTGTATAGTAACGATGAATTTCTGCACACTAATTTCATATCCTACTTCATTGATTTTTTTAAAATTCTATTAATTTGGATTCTTTAGGGTTTTCTATGTAGTGTTATGTCATCTACAAATAGTGACAGTTTTCTTCCTTTCCAATTTGGATGCCTTTTCTTTCTTATTTGATTGCTATGAATAGGACTTATAGTACTGTATTGAATAATTGTAGTGAGAATGGGCATCCTTGTCTTGTTCCTCCTCTTGGAGGAAAATAACACCATTGAGTATGATATTAACTGTTGATGGTGTCATATAGCCTTTATCAAGTATATTTTCCAGATGTTGAACCAGCCTGCATCCCTGGTATAAATCCCACTTGATCATGGTGTATAATCATTTTAATGTACTGTTGAATTTGGTTTGATACTATTTTATTGAGAACATCAGCATCTATGTTCATTAGGTATATTGGCCTATAAATCTTTTTTTTGTAGTGTCTTTGTCTGGTTTTGGTATCAGGGTAATGCTGGCCTCATAGAATAAGTTTGGAAATGTTTCTTCATCTTCAGTTTTTTGGAATAGGTTGAGAAGGATAGATACTTATTCTTTAAATGTTTGATAGAATTCACTTCTGAAGTCGCCTGGTCCTGGGCTTTTGTTTGTTGGGATTTTTTTGATTACTGATTCAGTTTCATTGCTATTAATTGGTGTGTTCAGTTTCTGTTTCTTACTGGTCTTAGAAGGTTGTATGTTACTAGAAATTTACCCGTTTTTTCTAGACTGTCCAATTTGTTGGCGTATAACTGTTCATAGTGTTCTTTAATAAACCTTGGTATTTCTGTGGTGTCAGTTATAATTTCTTGTCTTTAATTTCTGATTTTGTTTTTTTTTTTTTGCTTCATGAGTCTTGCTAGGCTCATCGATTTTATGTATCCTTTAAAAGAACCAGCTCTTAGTTTCATTCATCTTTTCTATTGTTTTTCTATTTTCTTTTTTGTTTATTTCTGCTCTGATTTTTATTATGTCCTTCCTTCTACTTTTTGGGGGTTGTTTGTTCTTTTTCTAGTGTGTTTAGGTGTAAATTTAGTTTACTTGGGATTTTTCCTACCTACTGAGGTATACCTGTATAGCTATAAACTTTCCTCTTACAATTGCTTTTGCTGCATCCTATAAATTTTAATTTTGTAAGGTTGTGTTTTCATTTTCATTTGTCTCAGGGTAGTTTTTGATTTCCTGTTTGATTTCTTCTTTTATCCATTAGTCCTTTAGAAGCATGTTGTTTAATCTGCATATATTTTTGATTTTTGTTCTTTTCTTCCTGTAGTTGATTTCTAGTTTCTGTGGTCAGAAAATATGCTTGATTTAACTTCAGCCTTCTTGAATTTATTGAGGCTTGTTTTGTGGCCTAGTATGTGATCTATCCTGGAAAACATTTCATATGCACTTAAGAAAAAAATGTATAATCTTTAGTTTTTTAATAAAATACTCTGTAAACGTCTATCAAACCGGTCTAATGTAGCATTTAAGGCCATTATCCCCTTATTAATTTTCTGTCTGGCTGATTGAAGTAAGTAGAGTATTAAAGTCTCCAACTATTATAATATTACTGATAATTTAGTCATTTAAAGTAATTATTGATAAGAATATACTTATTGCCATTTTGTTAATTGTTTTTTGATTATTTTTGTTTTCTTCACTGTTTTTTCTCTGTTCTTTACTGTTGATTTGTTGATTTTCTTCAGTGTTTTGATTGGATTCCTTTCTCTTCATTTTTTGTATATTTTTTGTATGTTTTGGTTTATGGTTATATAAGGTTCATATATATCCATCTACATCTGTAGCAGCCTGTTTTAAATGATAGGCATTTAAGTTCAATCACATTCTAAAAGCACTACATTTTTACTCCCCCTCCACTCTTTGTTTTTGACATTTCGTTTTGTGTATTCTCTGATTAATCATAGTGATAATTTTGCTACTTTTGTCTTTTAACCTTCATATTAGCTTTTTAAGTGGTCGATTCAATATGATTATTGTGTATTTGCCTTTATCAGTGAGATTTTTTTTTCTTCCCTCTATTTTATTTCTAGTTATAGCCTTTTCTGCATAAAGGAGACCCTTTATGGAAGGCCACTTTAGTAGTGGTTGTGAACTCCTTTAGTTTTTGTTTGGGAAATTCTGTATCTCCTTCAATTCTGAGTGGTAACCTTGCTAGATTTAGTATTCTTAGTTGTAGATTCCTTTCACCACCTTAAATATCTCCTGCCACTGGGAAATTCCTTGTATGTGACTTGTTTCATTCTTGCTGCCTTTAAGATTGTCTCTTTATCCTTAACTTTTTTTGTCATTTTAATTATAATATGGCTTGGCGTGGGTCTCTTTAGGTTCAGTTTGTTTGGAATTCTCTGTGCTTCCTGGACCTGGATGTATTATTCCCCAGATTAGAAGTTTTCAGACATTATTTCTGAAAAGTTTCTGTCCCTTTGTCTCTCTCTCCCCCCTCCTCTGGAATCCCTATAATGCAAATGTTAGGATGTTTAATGTTATCCGAGAGATCTCTTATACTATCCTCATTTTAAATCTTTTTTTCATTTTGATGTTTTGATTTGATTTGCTAATCCATTCTTCTGTACTAACTAATCAGCTCTCAGTTCTTTCTAATGTATTGTTCATTTTAGTCATTGTATTCTTCATCCCTGACTGGTTCTTTATTGTTGACGTGCTGAGTTCCTTTGTTGCACTCTCAGGTTTGTTGAGCATCCGTATGATCGTTTCTTTAAATTTTTTATCAGGCAACTGACTTATCTCCATTTCATTGGGGTTTTGAAATGGAGTTTTCTCTTTTTATTTCATTTGGGGCATATCCTTCTGCCTCCCTATTTTTTTTTTGGACTTGGTATTTGCTCCTATGAGTTGGATAGAATAGCTGTCTCTCCCACTTTTGAAAGAGTGGTCTCTGTGTATCCTGTGTATGGAATAGTTTTGGCAGGCCAGTTGTGGTCAGGGCAGGCACATGCAAGGCAGCTCCTTGCATGCACAGCCGCACGCTGCTCACTCTGCCTTGGCAGCCCTGCCTTTGTTCCCTGTTGCTTTAATTGTCCACTTGCAAAGTAGGGTCTGGGCAGGGCCGCTCTGCATCTCAATGCCCTCTCTCTGGATTCGGCAGCACTGAATGCATGTACAGCAACACCCCACTCATTCCGCACAGGGCAGCCCTGCATGTGGGCACTGTAGCATCTCACTGTCTCTGGACAGGGTAGCCCTGCAGGCACAGGTACCTCAGTGTTTGCCTAGCTCTGCACTGTCTCCAGGAGGGGAAGCCCCACATGTGCACAGCCCAGTGGATGTGCAAAGCACCACCCTGCTATACACGCTGGATCAGTCTCCAGATGAAGAGGCCCCTTGTATGCATGCTATGAATCTAGTTCCAGGAGGGGTGGTCAGAGATGCATTACAGCACCCTGCACGTCCACCAGAGAACCCACTATCCACATTCAAGGGAAACATAAACAGTGGCACTCAACAGTTCTTCTGGTTCTCATTTGTTACCTCAGGTCCTAGAGAGCTCCCATGGTTCCCCAACTTTCTTTAAGCTGTCTTTCTCTCTTGCTTGTTGTGCAGAAGCTGTTCAGTTGGCTCACAGCTGTCTCTCAGGAGGAACTGCTCTAAATATAGGTGTACATTTGATATATGCTTGGGAGGGTGAACTCGGTGTCCACTTATGCCGCCATCTTGGGCCGTCCTGGGTCATGTGTTTTTAATCCACTCGCAATTTTTTAATGGGTGTGTTTAGACTATTTACATTTAATGTGATGACTGCTATGTTATAGCTTAAGTTTGCAGTTTCATTTTTTGTTTTGTGTTGTTTTTTTCCTGATTTCCTGTGGATTGCTTGAACATTTATTTAGTCCTGTTACTCTCCCTCATTTATAATACAGTTGTCTCAGATATTTTATCTATGTACACGTAGAACCAGTTTAGATACTGTAATTTGTTTTCAGTCATCAAAACAGTTCAGAAAACTTTGGAGGGAGGACAGTCTATTGTATGTATCTACATCTTTGCTGTATGTGTCGTTATTCTTTCCCGATGTTCCAAGATTTCTTTTTAACAGCCTCTTTTTGTTTAAAGAACTTCCTTTACTCTTTCTTTTAGGTTAGTCTAGTAGTGACAGATTCTCTTAGCTTTTTCCTATTTGATAATGCCTTGATTTCCCCTTCATTTCTGAAAATTACTTTCTCTGGGTATAGAATTCTGAGTTTATGATTCTTTTCTTTCAATGCTTGAAAAATGTGCCGCTCTCTTCTGGCCTCTCTGGTTTCTTATAAGAAATCCACTATCTTTCTATTTGTTTTTTTCCCCTAGGTAAGGTGTCATTTTTATTTCTTTCAAATTTTGTCTTAGTTTTCAAAAGTTTAACTACAATGTGCCTTGGCATGAATTTCTTTGGGTTTATCCTGTTTAAGATTTGTTCAGCTTCTTGAATATGTAGGTTTATTTCCTTTGCTAAATTTGAGAAGTTTTTAACCATATTTCTTAAGGTTCTATTTCAGCCCCATTCTATTTCTCCTCTCTTTTCACGTCTGTAATGACATAAAGGTGAGATCTTTAGTTATAGCCCACAGGTCCCTGAGGATTTGTTCATCTTTTTTCCAGTTTTTTGTTTGTTGTTCAGATTTGTAATTGCTATTGTTCTTAAAAGTTCACTGAGTTTCTTCTGTTCTCTCCATATGTTTCTGGGGCTCTGTTTTATTCCATTGGTCTATGTATCTTTATACTAGCACCACACTGTTTTGATTATTGTAGTTCAGTAAATTTTGAAATTAGGAGGTGTGAAACCTTGGACTTTGTTCTTTTTTTCCAGATTGTTTTAGATATTCAGAATCCCTTGAGATTTCATCTGAATTTTAGGATGATTTTTCTATTTCTCCCAAAAACATTGGTTCTAGTTTTATGCCTCAGTCTTATTAAACACATCAATTTGAACAATGCCGATTGCATTAAACTCATTGGACTTCAGCCTTTTCATGTAGCAGTTCTCAGAGTCTTAAGAAGAGTCTTGTATTTTTCATGTGCGGTTAAATAGAGCAAGAATGCTAGGAAGAAGAAGGTAGGAAGTTTAAAAGGGAGCCCAGTGTCACAGAAATTTGTTAAAAGGATGTAAAGTATAACCTTTATTTACCACAAAAATAGTTTGAAACAGGTCTAAGATTTTTCTGTAAGTTATTAAGCTTCATATCTGAATTGTTGATAGGGTAATATAACTGAACCTTCAGACCAAAAAATGAGCTGTGTTCAATTATAACTCATTATCCTGATCAACCTTAGACTGTAGAACTTGACATAAGATTTATATCAATGTGTCAAGTAAAAGGGGTTTGTTTTTTTGTTTTTTTGTTTTTTTGTTTTTTCAGTATTGTAACATCACTAAAGAAGACATTTCTAGGCTACTGCTGTGTCTTTTTCCAGAATTGTTCCGAGTTTTATGGTATCATCCAAATAAACATTTTGGGTATATGTATTGGACAGATTACATAGTAAGATTAGAACAACCTAACAGAAGCATATCTGTTATTTCTGTTTTCCAGAATGTCTACACAAGGAAGTACAGGATTTGGCCTTTCTAGATGTTGTATCCAAACTTCGCAGTCATGAGAACAAAAGTGTTGCTCAACAGGCCTCTCTCACAGAGCAGAGACTGACTGTGGAAAGCTGAGAATTGCCCCTCCCTGATACATGGCATCATCCCATCTCTGGGTTCCCCTTTGTCCTCCATCCAGCTGCCTCTTCTGCTTCATTCTCTTCCATATCACTTGTGCATGCGTGTAATGTTCCAATACCAATTGAGAACTGCTGTAGGTACCTGCCCAGTAAGATTTCTAAACCCATAGTTAGTGTGAACATGAATTTGTCAAAAACAAGTCTCCACCCATAACTGTTCTCTTGTATTCCTGTTGCTTGAGCTACATTAAGTAGAATGTGCATGTTGTAGTCCTATGATGATGTAAACTTGGTACTACATAATGACTTGCTCCTCACACTTGGTAAACTACATAATAATGTACTGGTAAATTAGAAACAAACAAGAATGCAGCAGGATCTGTCTAGCTTATTAAAAATGGAATTGGATAGTAAAAATAGCTCCATTTTTTTGGTGCTTGGGAAGCACAGGGACCAAAAAAACTGGATGGCTGCTTATTTATTAGTCTTACCTACTAATGTCATACCCATGGTACCTAGAGTTAAATAAAATCCAATGCGCTCACCCTTTATACCCTACGGTTTCTCCTTCTTCCTACCTAGTAGACTCTTGAAACTGCCAAAAACTTGGCAAGACTTCCTGAGGTTTTTCATTTCATGTTTAATTGGCTGTCAGTAGCCTGATGTTGAAAACATTTGTAGTTTTCACCATGAAATTAAAGGGTTGAAGAATCTGTTACACTAGTACATCTTGTTTTTTTGGCTATCTTTTAGATTCTGATATATGTACAGTGTCACCCCAGAACTTCTTCCAGCAGTTAATCAGCATTGTTCAAAATTTGTCTTTAAAAGTCAGTTTGGCGTATGTTTTCGACTAAGGAAATTCAATGTAGTTCATTGAAAAATGGATATTTTTTTCCTATTTTTCATCATTCAGTTCAAAAGCAAGAAGTTTCTTCTCACTGTCCTTTTAAATCTTAGAACTAAAAGGAAATAGGAAAAGAATTAATAACTTTGTCTAAAGAAAGGAAACAGGTAATAAAGCCATAGTAGCCAGGCTAGTTCATTCTGCAGATGTCCTCGGACCAGTAACTGTTAGAGTGTCCCACCTCCACTTTCCACAGGGAACTGCAGTAGACCTTAAATGCTATCAGAAAAGGTGACAGCACCAAAACTCAAGAGATGAGAGGACTCTCTGGCAAAATGTAATATACTCTTCACTGCCACTACCACCACCAAATGGGTTTTTAGAGCTTTGAAACACAATCTTTGTAAATTAATCAGTATGCCCCTGTGACATACCTGCCTTCTCCCCATGCTCAAGCCTGACGAATACTGGCTGAAAGGTAGAATGGGCTCCAATATAGAAGGACTGCAGGACAGTAAGATGGACGGCCAGTGGTGACAGAAGCTCCTTCCTCTCCAGCATGAGATGTTGTACATCTGTAGGGTGATCAGAGTTGGACTTTTGACTCTGAAACTGCTATAACTTAAGTTAAAACCCCAATAGAGACAAAGAACCTTTTGACTGATTGATCCCTTTGATGTGCAAGAAAAGGACTGTTACGATGAGTGCTCATGCTACCCTTACTATAAGAATGATCTTATTGTCTTCTCCTGGGCTGGATAGTGGACTATATTTCATTATAGTTTTGAAAGACATCTATAATGTTGCATAATAGGCTGTTCGTGTTAATAACTAAATAAATAAATACTATATGAAACTGTAATGGCATCATTTGGTTTGTTTGTATATTCTACTTCTTTTTCCAGCTCCTAGAACAGCTCTCACTCATTGTCGATGCTCAGTAAGTATATGTCGAATGAATTCCTACTGCCATGAAACTTTGAGGCTGCCTGAACTAATCCTAGATAGACTTCTAGAGAAATTGAGATTTAGATATATGTCTAACTTCAGAGACTCTTTTTCTTTGATGGTAGGGTCTGTCTGTCCCAGTTGAAAAGCATTCTATAGAAAACCTCAGAAAAGAGGCATCCAAAAGTCATAGATTTGAGAGAAGCTACAATCTGGGCCAGCTGCCATCAACCAGTTTGCTGATAGGCTAGGAACTCTTGTCACCAGCAGAAATGCAATTTGAATCACAAATTTTTCTACGGAGATACCAGAAGCCTATGCCTTTATGATAAGGGTCCACCAAACTAGGTGATTGTGCTGCTATGCCACAGCAGTGAGTGGGAGCCTGTAGACAATGCTACCCCTTCCCTCCAACAGCTTAATAGAGACCACCTTTAAATTTGTTTGCCACCCAATAAGAGTGCATTCTAGGGGAGAGGATGGGAGGAGCAGCACAAAGCTTGAATTATTACCTTGTGCCAGGACGTGAGCATAGATGAAAAGCAAAAAGGCCAGGAATTAGAGGGTTGTCTGAGTGAAATGCGCTAGACTGTCCTTTCTCTCTCCCTCTCTCCCAGCCCCATTAGGTCTTGGAATCTCGCTGACACCTCCCCAGACAGTAACCTCATTGTACTCAAAGCAAAATTGATTAAATACTGGCCCATAATCCAGTGTCTCCCTTGATAAAACATGTTTTGAGCAAATTAATAACAGAGATGTGGAACAAAATTCTTCAGTTCTAAAATGATTTCCTCTTAGATGGAATAGGATGCAGTTCCTAGATACAAGCATTAGTGTGATGTCTTCTGAGAAACCTGCATGTGAAGACTGCAAAAAAAAAAAATGCTCTTTGTTATAATTAGGCGTATTATCTAATTCTGCTGAACATAAGGAGTGAAGATGTCTGTTACTTAGGTGAGAATTACCCTTTGTATCCAGCTGTTACTAGAATTGGTAAGCTTAAAAGCCACTTCTTAACCCTAGGAAGCTATAACATTTGAATTCTACGAGTGTCTTAAAATCACTTAATGATACTTGGGATGAATCTTCATAGCTGTAACCAGAAAAATTAAGGGTTTTTCCCCCCCCAAAGTTATGACCTCTTACTTTGCATACATTTATACCTTGTAGCTTCATAGATACATGGTTTATAGGTGTGTCTGACTGAAATGTTCTGATTGCTTTTAGAAGTGTGATAAGTGCAAAGAGGAAGGTCTTTGGATACTCTATGATCTGTAGTCACATCCCTGGTTCTGTTACTGGCTGTATGACCATCGCCAAATTACTTAAACTCTCTAAGCCTGTTTTCTCATTAGTATGACTGGTTTAGTTGAATAATCTCTACTTCCCAGGGTTTTTTGGGCCAATTGAAACTTAGAGGTTGAAGGTAAAGTTGGATGGAACTGTTGATAACTTTATGGCCTAAACTACACTCCTCTGTTCCCCCTGCAGGATTTCCAGCTAAAGGAATTCAAAGCAGCCAAATGGAGAAAATGTGTCTGTTAATAGTTTGAGTTGCACCCAGTTATCAATGCAGAATGCATAATCCCTTGCTTCCTCTTCCTAGACATGAAGATGGACAGGGCTATAGAGCAGGCCTTGAATGTAGGCTCCCAGTAGTCCTTCCTTTTCCTGTCTCAGACCTCTTCATATGTAAAGTGGAAATAACAGTAGTAGCTCAGTAACCTTAGCTTTTATTAATATTATTCCTAAGTCAATATAAATAAAGCTGTAGTACTATGAGAATTTTTTCCTCAAAATAGAAACAAAATAATCCCCTTCCCATTATCAATGCTGCCCAATTATTTATCAGTATATACAAAATATACCTTTTTACGTACATACCTGTTCATGTGTGTCTTTTTCTTAAACATAAATGATGGATGTTGTGCATGGAGGTTTATAGTAGCTGTGCTCCGAATCCTCTGAGATAATCCAGATTATGATAGCCTATTTGTCATTATGATTCTTGAACAGACAGGCATTCCCTTTTATGTTGGAAGTTTCCAAGGGTAAACTGTTTTTCCTTCTTAGTTGACTTTTAAAAATGCATTATTTCCTTATCCTTTGTTTCTGCCTAGAAACCAATCAAAAGTTTTTACCTAAACTTTTTAGCTATAGCCACAGAGATTCTAAACTAATGGCATTTCAAAAATGGACAATATACTCCTGTCTATTTATAACACTAGGTAGGAACTTAAAGTAAGTGGCATTTCATTTATATACTGGTAACGAGACCAAACTTAAGCCAGGTAGGTACTAATACCTGCAGTTCTCATGCTTGTCCCCTCGGTCTTTTGCTTCCCTACTGCCTGATGTCACGTTTGTCCAAAGAAGAAAGCAGAGCCTCTCACTTCCTAAGGAAACTGGAGGATCAGGGTGACATTAAGAGCATGTTCTGTTCTCACGAGTGACTTCAGTGGTTTCTCTGGTCACCAGCATCATCAATGCAGTTTTCAAGGGTTAAAATGGAGCAGGTTGGGTGGTTAAGCCCATGGAAATAGGGGCTCAGGTGAGAAGTGACTTGAATCAAGTACTCTACAACCTAACAAACGGCTCTCACCTTAACTCCTGACCTCAGAACACATTCTTGGAACTTGCTTATGCTCAGAAATCTGTGGTTTTGCTGGTGGGCATGTGTGCAGTTTCATTATAATCTGCTTAGCCATACAGAATTAAATCCACATTCCACATTCAGTGGTATGAGGAACTTCATAGGGTTTAATTGATTTGGGGCACATGTATAGAAGATTTTTCGTTTCAGGATTAGGCTTTAAGAAAATTCACGAGGTTTTTCTACAAGAAAGTATAAAGCCTAATCCTGAGATACTGTGAAGCCTCTTAGTTTCAGGTCTGGGGTTTTTTAATTAAATAATTTTAAAGATCTTTATTAGATTTCTGTTAAGATAAAAAATTTAAAGCCATAACCCAGACTTTCAGTATATAAACTTTAAATGTAATAATAGATTTTAAATATATAATCTATTTTCAAGTATAATTGAGAGATATTACTACTATAGTAGTTACTTTGTCAGTTACTGATTCCCAGCAATCCTGAAGAATCCTGAAGGAAAGAAATTCTGGGCGTATACTCAGATGACTGTCAAAAATAAATTCCTATATGAATGCTCACTTTGAATTTTATAACCAGCTCTACTTTAAAACAGGCCTCCCTTCTAGCCAAATGGTGTTTTTGTTAGATGGTTTGTTTTTAAGGGACCACCATATACAGAATAGAGCCAAGGCTGCTGGGAAGCTGGCTATGCCCCTGTCCTCCTGGTGTCCATGCACTCAGATGAAAAACCCCTTCTCTATTAGGACATTTCACAGTGTTTTCTCAAGGTCGGCACTGCCCCACCCCTAGGACCAGAGAAGTTCATCCACCTTTGACCTTGTCTGCAGATATTCAGCTCAGCTTCAGGGTGCTCAGTCCCTCCCCATGTCTAGCGCAGGCACATCAGATGAACACCTATAATTAAACTTAGAAGGAGGAGAAATTTGATTCATACAATAAGATAATGTAAAGGTATACAGATTGCAACCCGACCCAAGACGACAAACAGCTGCCCGAATCAGGGCAAACAATGGGGAGGAAATACTAACCAGAGTAGCTTTGATTTCAGACCCATCTCAGCACTAATTTAAAACAGTCACCATTTTCAATTGGAACCGTCAGCCGACGATTTTCCATCCCACCCTCCATTTTTTAAGGTTCTAGAATGCAACACACTCACCTCTCCCACAATGACTTCCTTTTTTGTGCAGGTTAGAAAAGTAGGGGAGCAGTTACTAATGACTCATATTCCACCCTTTTTGACCACACTCTTCACCCGCTAGTGCCCAGCAGAAATTAGAGGAAGCGACATAGCAGAATGACCGCTGAGCTTCAAAATGTCAGTCTAACAGCTATTCAATCCTCTTCCCTCTCCTGTGTCTTGCACTCTCGGTTCCCCACCAGGGTCATTGTGAGATGCAGTGCCTTCCCCTGAGCCACAAGAAGTGAGAGCAAGATGTGCGATGACCTAAGAAAAGCATCTGATGCAAAGAGGACATTACCCGTATAAATGGACGTTCATAACCTGACTCAGCAGTCCCTTACTCTATAAAATGCAGGTTTTGTTAAACCTGCAACTTATTGTTAAACCTGTGTGTGCTTATTCTACACACTTGAAGTTCTATAGCATGTGTACCTACATCCTTTTATTTTCCCATTTATAAGCCATTTCCCACACTACTAAGAACTCTATTTCATAAACCTCATTTTTAAAAGCTGCATGTTCTTCAACTATATGGATGTACCATAATTTACTTAATCATTCTCCCACATGTGGGCATTTAAAACATATTTCAAATTTTGAAAAATAAAACCCAGATGCTAAGTTGTGAGCATTTGCAGCTGTTAGGGTAGCCTCTAGACTGAAAACTATCTGATCTGTCAGTCCATCTTCCTTCTACCCCTAATCCTAACCAAAAGTCCTATTCCTTTCTTCTTCATGGGTCCTCATCAGTTACTCAATGTAGCCTCCCTGATCTACTCATACTTTTGTCACTTCCTGGACACTGTGCTCCTGTCAAGCCCTCCCTAACCTTCTAAGAGGACCCACCTCAAGGAAAGGAGGGGTCGCAAGGGCAGAGTGGCATCTAGGAATTATACCCACTCACCATTTACCACCACCCCTAACCAGTGCACCAGAGTGTGGGCCTCCTAAAAAGAGGAGGTGCAGAACACACCTCCCAGCACCCAGTGGAGCTGGCGTCTAACTAATTGGAGTCTAATTGCCTCTTAGCACTGTCATCAACCACTGCCAGCACGTACCAAGCCTGCAAACCACCACTCTGATTTGTTCCAAGCTGATAAACGCTGTCTAGGCACCA